AGCAAAGTTGGGGAGCTGTTCTTTATGAGATATGCTTGGGACTGTAGGATTTGAAAACTGCGTAGAACTTCAGAAATGAGTGAGTTCCAATAACTCCTGCCGTACTGTTGGAGACGGGAGCGAGTGGGTCTCAGTTTCAGGACTACCTCAATATCTCAGTAAGGAGGCAATGGCTTCCAGCTTCCTCGTCCAGTGATGGCCTTGTGTCCCACAACCTGAGGACTAGGGGCACCCAACAAGGCCACACTTCTGATTCTGGGTGGGGTCATCAGAGCTAGGATGGAACTTAGTCAAATGTCTCATTTCATCATCTTGTCTCTGTTAGACTCCAAGTTCTTCGGACATAATGTTCCTGTCTATGTGACATGCACCAATAAATTCTCAGGAAGAAAAACCAATCCAAACACTTAGCTGGTGTCTTAGAGAAAAAAACAAAAATCCGGGTGGCTTCATTTTTAGAATTTAAGTAGCTGTTGTGGCCTCCCGTGACACCCAAAACCACTTGTAGATGAACCTGTTCTGTGTTGGGATTAGGGCTGGAATCCTCTGGAAATTCTGTGGCAGCCTTGCCATGCGACTTGACCTCATTTCTAAAGTTAAGGAAAGCTTTTGTCTTTAGTCTAGTGTTTAAACTGTTAGTATTCTAAATAGCAAATTTTCGTTTATTATTCCAAGTGAAAAAAAAATGTGTGTGTGAGATCTCAGCACGTAGAGCAGACTAGGGCAAGATTTTATGCTCCCAGTGGTAGCTGCCTTCTTACCACGAACAATAAACGTGGAAAATCAAGTCAGGCTTAAACCAGCTCCACCACCTAACTTGTTTCTACGGGAGTACTGACCGCTCTCCAACATTCTCAGCTGGAGTATCCAAGGCTCAACACACGGGTTTGGACCTGTGTATCCATCAGCAGCGTCTGTGACTATATAAGACACATGTTATGCTTTGTGTGTATTCTTGTATTTGTGTAGTGTATGGGCATGCATGCACTGACTCTACATGCATGTAGAGGTCATAGGTCAACATCATGAGTCTTCTGTGTTGCTCTCTCTTGTATTTTGTTTTTTAGGTTTTTTTGTTAGTTTGTTTTGTCTTATTGTTTTGAGACAGGGTCTCTTAGTGAATTTATTGCTTAGGAATTTAACTGGGCTAACCAATAAGCATCCAAAGTGAGGATGTCTTTCCTTCCCCAATACTAGGCTACAAACATGCACCAACCATGCCTGTTTTTTTCACAGAATACACACACACACACACACACACACACACACACACACTCACACACCATGAAACTTCCACAGCTTCCTGTTTCAAGTCCTTTGTAAGACATTAAAGACTTTACTACCCACCACTGGGATCTTCACTGTGCTAGTTTTGAGGTCATCATTCTCCTGGGGTCTCTGTTTCTTTCCTTTTGATTTTCTGCCTGGAATGCCCTTGAAAATTCCATTTTTTTAATCTGTCTCATGGTAGACAGCCCTTCCCAGCAAAGTCCAAGTTTGTGGCTTAACATCCTATCCCCAGAATGAGAATCTGCCACATATCCAGCATCGAGTACCTATTTTTTGAATGACTAGAAAAAATTTTAACCAGATCGATGAACATGATTTGGACTGAACTGAAAATCAAATTAGCTTCCATTAGTATAAGGCAATATACTCTGTGTGAGAGTCATTTTAACCCCACACGTACAAGGACACCCCTCGGGTCATAGATGTCATCAGCTGCTTTGGAGAGTCAGTGCAGCTAGAAGCTGTGGTAACCATCAAAGGAGAATGCTCTAAGGGGTAAACTGAGGCGTAGTCTCCTTCCTGGATTTCCTGTCTATTGTTCTGACCCCTCCAATGCAATCTATACATATTTCTCAGATTTCTTGAGTGCTCTTTTGGACTTTATCAGTGTTGGAAATCAAATGCCCAACAATCCTTGCCACCCACACATAAATTCCAAACAAGTTATCAAAGCCTTACAGTCTTCCCAAAGGATGTAGACTGAGATGGGTATGATCTGCCAGTGCAAGATGCTGGCTTACTCTGGGCAACCTCTTCTATCCCGCTTATCTTTGTTATTCTGCTTGTGGAAGATTGTTAAAGAGCTGTGCCATAAGGCAGTAGCTATCCTTGGAGCGATCCCTCTGGCTGGTGCATGGTACCTGGCTTGTCTGGATCCTAAGAGGCAGGTCCTGGTGCTTCAGATAGAACTCTGGTTCTCACAAGCCTTCTATTATACAAGCCATTGTTTGGTATTATACTTCCTGGGGCCGTTCTGCCTCCAGATACCTCCAGAAAACTCTTAGTACTCTCTGCTCTGGAATCTTCTTGCTTGGTTCTTCCAGATTAACCATAATATTTGCCAGTTTAACTCCCATTGTCTCCCAAAGTCTGCCCACTCACTACTGTATGACAGAAGCTGGTATTTATAACTTATAAGAATCAACTCTGAGGAGCTGGCTAAAATGCAGGCAGACTTCTGAGCTCATCGTTGAGAGCTATGCATTTGAAATCAGCGGATTCACTGACTCTATTGAGAAACACTTGGGTTGTAATCATCAGCAGTCCTTCAGCAGTCATTCATTCATTCATTCATTCACACAGGTCTTTCTTTTACATCAAAGCTTTAATAACAAGAATTAGATTTGACAAGAGCAATTGATTCGAACAGTGGGTTAAGTATACGGTTACTAGTTATAAATTCTTGTCTTCTAAGTCTCCTTCAGGATAAAAACAGGCTCCTGTCTACCCTATCCAGCTCTGGGAAGCAGCTTGGAGTGAAAGGTTTATTTGGCTCACCACTGGGTGATGAGGAAGTGCAGAAGAATTCTTCCCTTACACACTGATCAGAAGAAAATGCTTCCTTAGGTTAGATGTGTGCCTTTGTTCAAACATGTTTTTCTACGACTCCAACTGTCCTGCTGGTCCCGTATTGCTGCCACATATAAACATGAGAAACTGAACCAGGTCCATAGGATGCTCACATGCGGTTGGAGGTGACAGGCTCAGCAGCTGCTTAGAGCCAGAGGTCTGAGCAGGTCGTATCTCTAGGACTCTATCAATAGTAGTCGTCTCTACCATCTTCTCAACTTGACTGAAATAAAAATGTCAGACTGGGCCCAAGTGAAAGAGACCTACCTGCCCTTTATCCTAGTCAAGCTAAGAGTTTGTGTCCTCATGAAACCCCATTCTCGGATCAGTAAAAGTTCCCTTGGCAGCATGTTTTGTTGTTGTTGACTTTTTCCCATGGAAGTTTGATAGCCTTGCGTGCTCTATAAAGCTCCAGCTCTCTGCTGCCCCCAGCAGGTCCTTCACTTCTTATCTTACCTTAGCCTGGCTGGCCCGTGGATACCAGAAAAAGACCAGTCTTCTGGTCTGAGATTGAGCATTCATTTTGTGTCATGTGATCTGTGTGTGTTTGGTTTTTTTTCATTCTGCTTGTAGGAAGGTGCTTTGCACTTTGACCTCTCCTCAGTTATTGTTGGCATTGGGGGCCTTCTTCCCTAGCTAGCCACCATCTTGTTGGCATGGTGTGGTCCTTCCCTAGCTAGCCACCATCTTGCTGGCATGGTATGGCCCTTTTTCCTTGTCTAGCCACCATCATTTTTGTCTTCCACTTAAAGCAGCCGAGATAGAGAAGTAAACTGCTTTAGTAAAGACGTAATGATCTGAGCACACACATGTTCAGTTTGGAGAAAGATGGGTGCGGATTTGGATCCTGATCCTACTAACCACTGGCTCTTTGAACTTGAGTAATATTTTTTATGTTTTTCTCTATAAAAAGGTCGTTATGCAATAGCAGGCTAACAGAAATGACTTGTGGATGATGCTCCCGAGGGCTTTGTTTTCCTTCCTCCTGGAGGATTTTTACTTTGAGTAAGCAGTCACAGCAACAGTTCCCCTGTTCCAGGAATTAGCAATCGCTCTCTTGGAGGTGTTTGTTGTCTTCCCTTCCCCTCTCCTGTCCTTTTTCTGTGGTCTGTGGTCTCTTACTTAAAAAAAAAAAAATTATGATAGGCAGTGAGATAAGCAATTAGTTTCCCAGCACTGACGCAAAGAGCTTCCACTGGTCTGCAAGCTTTGGTAGTAGCGACTTCACAGCGTGAGATTCAAACCTCATAAAACCTCAACTGCATGAACACTAGGCAGCTCTATCCTGTTAAATAACCCAGAGTCTGGAAGGCTCCTTGGAAGACTTGGTCCTAGTTCCTAAACATAATAGCTAGCTAAATATTCTTCTGTTAGCAACATTGCAGGTCAGGGCCGGTTCTGTCTTTAATCTCATTTGTTGGATCCTTACTTGCCAGACATTTTATGCATGATGTCATGTAACTATCAGAGCAGCCTTGGCTGTCAGACTAGACCCCACTGAGACTTTAAGAAGTTGAGGTAACTCACTTAAGGTCACATAGCTAGTGAAGGTCCTGGCTGAAATTTGAATCAAGTTCTGACTGGACGCAAGTGTGTGCTTGTATGGGTTAGTTCTCCTGTCTCTGAAAACTAAGGAATCCCTAGGTCCCACCAGGCGCTGGAGGGAGCAGCTTGCAGAGATGTAGACCTTCAGTTTGGATCTGTCATTGCCCTATGGGGGCTTGTAAAAGGTGAGCTGAAGCGGTTATAACTATGACACCATAAAACAGCAATGTCAGACCATTGACCTTTTGTCTGTTGCTGTTCCCGTGTTGATTGATAGATTACATTTTCAAAGATTACATCAGTAATTCATGCTTTATTACTCCTGAATTAGTATAATGCTTCAAATCATCTTGTTGCAATTCAGCGTAATTATCTGTAATTAAAAATAAATTCCTGTAGGGTGAGAATATTAATTCCTATTCAAAACTCTTTATTTCAATGCGGCTGTGAATGAACCAATGCCTGACTCTTAGGTAACAGCGCCAGGCACGTCCTGCCGAGGTAACTTACTTAGTCCGATATGTTTGTACTTTTGTGCGTTTTCTGTGAGCTCCGACACTTTTCCGACTGCTTCGACTTACTTGATGTTCTTACAGGTACTTGCTTTCTGTGTTGCTGCTGTTTGCTTTGATTAATTCACTGGAAGATTCTGATGAAAGCCGTGAAGAGCATTCAAGGGCAAAGTTCATTCAGGTGTGTACAGTTAGTCTGTGCGTAGAATTGTGGGAGAGTCAGGCTTCCCCCAGGACTGAGCCTCACCTGCCAGCGGCAGCAGCACCGCTGGGGGCTGGGGCCCAGCTATCTGGTTTTAACCAGGCCTTTGTGTTTCTGATGGCTGGAAGTTTAGCAACTCCTCCCCAGGGAGGAACGGAGGATCCTGCCCTGGCAGATGCTCTTGATGCTGTAAGCGATTGGCATGCTGTCTGTAGAAAGGGTAACAGAGCCCTGCAGCTCCGAACTTGTTGCCTTCTCTGGGTATTAACACCTGCTTCCTGATGCAGACCAAGTCTCCTTTTGCTCCTGTGGGAGCAAGGAGAAGGTTGGTGGCGCTATCATCTTCCAGGTGTCGGGGTGGAGAACCAGCTGGGGATGCCCCCAAGGAAAGGCTCCCAGGTGTCTGAGGATATGAAAGCAGTTTCAGGAGGTGGTAGAAGAGGGTGGTTTCTCTCACAGGATTCATACCTACAGTGAGCTGGCGGTACAGCTTCCTGGTTCCAGCCTGGGAGACCTCTCGGGAGGCCACCACTGTGGAATAGAGAAATATGACAGATAAGGCAATTCGGTGCCCAGAGTGTCGAGAAATCCACCTCCAGAGTTGGTCTCTAAGTGTTTCCATGGAAGGCGTTTTATTTCTCAGCCAGATAATTCAAGCTTGGTGTTTTAGCTACGTTTCCCTGGTGAAGTTTTATTTTGTGAGAAAGACATTACTGGGATTCATAAAGAGGTCTTCACTTAAGCCTGAGTCCCCCTTGACTAAATGTTTCGGCACATATATTTAACTGCCATAATTAATCACCTCATGGCCCCCACGATCGCATGGTTTCTAGCGAGCATACTTTGGTGGTACATGAATACATTATCAATGTGTTATCGTGTTGAAAATTTAGAGCAATACACAGAAATATGTCCTTCAAAAACCAGGGTGCCATGCACTACTCTCTGAGCCTCACAGTGAAAATTTCTGGTCCTTTATCTTCTTCATAGGTAAAGGGACGGCTGACAGATCAGACAAGGTCAGGGAAATGAACTCTTGGGACTTGCTTTCCTGGGCATGCCGCCTCCGTTCTGTTCTCTGCCTGCTTCTTTTAAGACCTGTTGGGGTCAATGGAAATGAATGATTCCATTCTGAATGCTAACAGGGGAGAGACCTCCTTATCTTCTGGGTAAATTATCTGGGGGCTATTTGTTGATGGGTCTACTCTGCCCAGCCCCCCACATCCAGCTTTCTCTATCAACCTGACATTGTGATTCCCTTTTCTCGGCTCCCTTTCTATCCTCATGGCTTTGCTGCTCTGATGCTTAGGGTTGGTGCTATTTCATATGCTTACAAAAAAATTCACCTTTCTTGAATTTTGCCTTTCCCAGTTGTGATTCATGCCCTTGTTCGTAGGGCAGAACGGGTTCTGTTTCTTCCAGGTCCTAGGCAAAATTGGACTGAGTCCTTTTCCCTTGGAAATGCCTACCCTATTCAAAGCACAGGTTGGTCTTTAAGTTTCAACCATTTTCTGGTGGTACCAACTCACTGAGTGCATACAGACTTCCGGGGGCTCAATGGGGCGTATAATATGACAGCAACAATGAGTATCTGATCATGTTCTGCTTCCACCACCAGATCCCTCCACTATTCAGTGCAACTAACTCTGGGGCAGGCACTGGGCAGGAAACCAGTTTCTACCAGGCTTGTAGCCTATGGAATAGCCCGACAGAAAAACTATGCCCTGATTAGCAAAACTAACCTGATTATGGTTAACTAGGCCAGCTGGGACTCATCTTTGAGGGAATTGAAATGCAGGTATTGGCCAATGCCCACTAACTGTGAGAGCAGAACCCAGGAAGAAAGGAGAATGGAATTGCTGGAACCTAATGGCAGCTACTGTTTCTTAAAGGAGAAGCATCATGGGCGAGGGGAGGAGAGCTGTGGGTTGTTTGGTGGATGGACTGGCCTTGGATGCCCTTGATCCACCTCCAGTGTTTTCAGGAACCCAAGGTTTCCCTTTGTGCAGCTGGTGACTCACTCTCCAGGTGACTTAACTTCCGGTGGTCTGCAGCTCCCTTGCATTACATCCTCAGCTCCCTAAAGCTCTTTCCTGCATCCTTCCTTGGCATCAGCCACACGCATCTCCCTCCCCTACCCATCAGCTCTGTGTAAAGAGAGGTTATAGCCAATGTCACATAGGAAGTTTTGGCCTCAGGATCCATATCGCCAATGTGACTGAATAGAGGTTGCAATGTGGTCAGAACTGAGACGCGCCCGTTCATCCCCAATCCCAACTCTTCCACGCATCTGGTTTGCTTCCCAGGCATGTGTAAGGGGAAAAAATGAGCTTCTTTCTAAATTTTGGAAACGAGGTTCTGCCACTGCCAGAGGTTATACTCACTGATCAGAGCTAAGGAGGGGCTGGCTCAACTCCATATCGCTGACAACAGCCTTAGGTCTAGTTCCTCCCTGACCAGTCTTTGTCACTTCTCTTGCTGTCTGGCCCCTGACGTCATTTGGTTTTATACCCACTGTGAGAGACAGAATGAAGGAGCCAATGCCTATGAAAGCTCAGCGTTTATTTATACAGTCAGAGGTAGAGAGAAGGTTCCGGAAGAGCTGCTAAGGGCACTCGCCCAGCAGCGGTGGTGCACTTGATTAGCAAAGCACCATTGCTGGTCTCCAGGAAGCTAAAATCAGAAGCAAAGAGAGGAAAGAAGAAAACGATGGTCCGGCTGGGTGTTAAACATTCACAGTCGTCAACGATGAGAAGCCAAGGGGTACTAGAGCAGCGTTAGAGACAAAACTGTGACTGTGGCCACCATCATCAGAATTACAGAGTGCTGTAGGAGAAGGTATTAAAGGGTTAAGCTGGAAGTACAAAAAATGGGCGGGCTCAATCAGGAAGTACAAGCAGCTAGGACAAATCAGAGAGGGAAGATGGAAGGTTCTGACTGCTGAGGAACAAGACAGGGTTTCCCACTGTAGAGAGATTGGCTCCATCTGAGATTGGTAAACTCGGGATTTTGCCAGATTTAGGCTTTTCTTTCAAAGTGATTGGAATGTGAAAAAATTTAGACTTACCAATGGTAGCAGTAACCCTGTCCCCCCGGTTGTTTGGGTTTTTTTGTTTATGGGCGTTGTTGGTTTATCATCTGCACCATTGTTTTCTTCTCAGCGTCTTTAGGAATACCATTTAGGAAATGGTCACTTCAAGTTTACATGAAGAAACTTGATTCCCAGACAACCGCATGTCACGGAATGTTATCTGTGAGGTCTGCATATAATCATTGAGAATCATACCTTCTATCCGTAAACCCCACACGCCTCACCCTACAACTTCGGGGACTGGTCTTCATTCAAGACCTCAAGAGACACTTTGCCCCTGCTCTGCCTCCTAACCTCCTTAGAATTCTTACCAAACACATCCACTACTGTGTCTCCCAGCCTTCTAGGCTGGGCATATTTCCTACTGACTAAATACTTAGTCACTGAGAAACACTTGAAGGAAAATGCTCAGATCCCCTCATTTGAAATAACACATTGTCTTTCCTCTATCTCCAGGTCCTTGCCTCCTACAGTTCTGAGTTCCATAAGCTAACTGGGATTCCCTTGCTTACTCTCCATTGAGAGGATCAGAATGTCCAAACTCCCTGAGTTACTTCACTGGGGGTGGCCATTTTGTATCTAGTCCCCAACTTCGGCACGTCTCAGTCTCTTCTTGCTACTCAGCATTCTCTTCCAGATTCAGCCTCTTCTGCCTACCGCGCCTCCTGTAACACTCAACTGTGCAGTTTCTCTGTTTACGCTTCACCACAGGCTCGTCATGTTTATTTGAAGGGGAAGGTTTCAATTATACTGCAACTGGCTCATTCTTGACTCCCACCCACTCCCGGCTCCCCCTCACCTAGACTTCTAAATCTTCGTCGACTGCATGGGAGGAAGATAATAAAATATCTCTCTGGGCTGGACCAATGGCGTGACTCTTTGCAAATAAGAACTAATTGTCTAAAAGAGAAATTAAACTCCGAGGGTAGTTAGAGATTAGTAGTAAAACTGCATCAACAACCCGCGGAGCTGCCGAGATGTTGGCGAGAATTTAACTTTCCAGATGAGGCCCAGGGAAGGGAAGTAATTTTCTCAGGCTCGTTTAATTAGCTAATGGAGGCCTTCTTCATCCCTAGACAAGACCCCACATGCAAACCTTTCTCCTTTGGTGTCTACTACAACAGTGCAGACATACCTATGTAGTCATATGTATGTGTAATGTAGTCACGTGTGTGTTGCGCAGACCTGGATGTTCTCAAACAGGATCTCTGAGGCTAGAGCAGAAAAGACAAGGTCTGATTTTGAGTATCTGCTCAGGTTCGACCCTGTTAGATGCTGCACTTTCCAAGACTGGACCCATGTTTTGTTAAGAATGAAAAAATGGTCCTAGTGGTTCTCCTGTGTTTTCACAGTGGAAACAAAGGTTCTGCCTGGAGAGGGAGGTACGCAAGTGCCAGGCTATGGCCCTCAGGAGCCTGCGTCTTTAAGAAGAGCGCAGCAAGCCTAGTAGCTGCTTTTGTTTGTGTGTTGAGGGCGAGGAGGAGCCTAGCTTGAAGCAGTACCTGGAGCCCGTGGGCGGTCTCTGGGGAACTGTGAGTCAGGCCTGCAGCACGGCCAACTGGAGTCCTTGACGTAGTTGGAAACGATTCAGGGGCACAGCTGAGACCTCAGAATGCCAGGATGCTATGAGAGGAAACCACAGTCCCTGGCACAGAGCTGGCCCTGTATGGATGGTAGGAGGTCATCTTGACTTGATTACCACCACCAGCAAAAGAGATGGAGGCAGGATTGGCTTCCCTAGAATCAACCCCAATGGGTGTGTGCACACTGAAAGCCCTGGTGGTAGGAGCCAGTGGCCCAGGATATCTGCGCATGGCACTGCCAAGACTTCATTATTTGACCTGGTGCGCTGCAGGATGGCAAGCCACATGTCTGGTACACAAGGTGG